GAGGATTGAAAGTTCAAGGCCAGCCTCAGCAACTTAGCAAGACCCTGTCTCAAAATAAAAAAATTTAAAAGGCTGGGCATGGGGCTGGGCCTGGGGCTGAGGCTGTAACTCAGTGGTGWAGTGCTTGCCTCGCATGTATGAGGCACTGGGTTCAATCCTCAACACTACATAAAAATAAATAAAGAGGGGCTGGGGTTGTGGCTCAGTGGTTGAGTGCTCACGTAGCGCGTGCGAGGCCCGGGGTTCGATCCTCAGCACCACATAAAAATAAAYAAATAAAACAAAGGTATTGTGTCCAACTACAACTAAAAAGAAAAATAAATATTTAAAAAAAGTTTTTAAAAAATAAAGATACTGTGTGTTCATCTACAACTAAATAAATATAAAAAAAAAAATAAAAAAGGCTGGGGATGTAGCTAAATGATAAAACACCCTGGGTTCAATCCCTCAATCCCTAGTACCAAAAAAAAAAAAAAAAGAAAGAAAGAAAGAAAAAGAAAAAAGAATATGTAGCTTTTTATATTTGATTTCTTTCACTTAGCATAATGTTTTTTTTAGCTGAATTAATACTATATTCCTTTGAAATGGATAGACTACATTTTGTTTGTCCATTATTCATTAATTAAAAAGTTTTMAATAGTAGCAAAATATACAATACAGTCTACCATCTTAACTATTTTTCAAGTGTGTAGTTCAGTGGTATTAAGTACTTTGATGTTGTTGAGAAACTATGATCATCATCCATCTCCAGAACTCTTCTCATCTTGCAAAACTGGAATTCTGAACCCATTAAATAATACTTCTTCATTCCCTCTCCATTTAGACCCTGGTAACCATCATGATGCTACTTTCTGTTGTGWTGAATTTGACTACTCTTGGTACCTCATATGAACAGAATCATACAGTATCTGTCTTTTTGTGACTGGTTTATTTCATTTGGCATAATGTTCTCTAAGTTCATTTATGTTGTAGCATGTGTCAGGATTTCTTTACAAGGCTGAAAAATGTTCCTTTGTATGCATATACTACAGTTTGCTTATTTGTTCATCTGTCTATGGACACTTGAGTTGTTTCCACTTTCTTTTTCTTTTATTTATTTATTTATTTATTTATTTTTTGTACTCAAGATCACCCAAAGGTTCTTTACCACTGACTATATCCTTAACCCTCTTTATTTTGAGAAAGGTTCTTACTAATTTTCCCAGACTGGCCTTAAACTTGCATCCTCCTGTCTCAGACTCCTGAGTCACTGGGATTGCAGGCGTGCCCCACCACACCCAGACCCATTTTTAACTAGTATGAAAMATGCTGCTATAAATATGGGTGCATAAACATCTCTTTGAAATCCTGTTTTTGATCCTTTTAGGTGTATATCCAGAGGTGGAATTACTAAGTCACATGGTAATATTATTTTTAATTTTTTGAGGAAAATGCTATACTATTTTTTTCCACAGCAGTTGTACCATTTTACATTCCCACCAACAGTGTACAAAGTTTCCAATTTCTCCATGTCCTCAYCCATACTTATTCTTTTCTATTTTATTCATTTATTTAATAAAAATTTTTTTTAGTCATTGATGGACTTTTATTTTATTCATTTATTTGTATGCAGTGCTGAGGATTAAACCCAGTGCCTCACACATGCTAGGCAAGCACTCAACCACTAAGCCACAATCCCAGCCCCAGTATTTATTTATTTTATTAGAGGGGGTGCTGGGGATCAAACTTAGGGTTTTATGCATGTGAGGCAAGCACTCTACCAACTGAGCTATATTCCCYGCCCTGCATTCATTTTTAAACAATTATTGAGTACCTACTGTGCCAGGACTCTATAGTTGGTAGAAGCTGGAGCTGCCAAGATGTTTGTTCTTGGTCTCCCTGCATGCAGGAACTCAGGGGACAGTGTGGGGAATGAAAGATGATAGGTRTCTACTGGAGAAGGAACAGAGTTCTATGTAGATGCAGAGAAGGAAGTGAAGAATCATTTGGGGAGGGCTTCACAAAGGAACAGACATTCAACATGGAGGTGAAAGGTAAGTGGGAGTTGGTCAGGCAGAGGTGGAAAGGTACCCAAGCTGAGCTAGCAGCACCTGTAGCCAGCCGTCAGGATGGCCCCAGCTGGTCTCACCTCTGGCATTTATGTGCTGTGTGATCCTCGTGCATATTTAATAGGACTGATCTGCAAAACCGATAGACTGTGAAAGTGATGCTGTGTGACTTGAGAATACATCATACAAGACTTTGGGCTTCTTGCCTTGCTCCCTGTGGATTTCTGGGYGAATCAAGCACATGTCATGAGGACACTCAAAAAGCCATCTAGAGAGACCCAAGTGAAGAGGGACTGGAAACTTCTGCCAGCTTGACAGTATGAGGCTGCCAGCATCAATTGTTAGTCATGTGACCAATACACCCAAGGATCAATGCTCAGCCTCATCAAGCCTGCCAATGAGCACTGCCCTAGCCAACATCTGACAGGAACCTTAGGAAAGTCCCTGAGCCCAAACTGCCCACCAACCTGCTCTCAATTTCTTAATCCAAACCACCCCAAACAGGAGGAGTCTGGGGAGTGTTAGCTCAGTGGTTGAATGCTTGCCTAGCATGAAATAATGTATGTTTATTGTTGGACAGTTTAGAAGTATCTTGTTACACAGTTATAACTAATAAAGCTAGAAGCATGAAAATAGCTGGCATGTTGTGGAAATGGTGARAAATTCATGGAGGCTGACTTGAAGGATCATAGGCAGAAATCTGAAGTTGAAGGAAGTCTCTGAAATCTCAAGTTTCCCAGAAATAGGGGGCGAGGGAGCCATCTGGTGGCTGGAGGCATGCCTAGACAGTCCTCTCTCTGCTTGTTCTACTGGGCATTTCCACCTAGTATTCCTTCAAGGGACTTAGTTTACTGATGGTGGAATTTCAGGTAGTTAGGACGTTGAAGTAAACAATTTTCTTCTTTCGTGGGGTATGGTGGCACCACACGCCTGTCWTCCCAGTGACTCCAGAGGTTGAGTCAGGAAGATTGAAAGTTCAAGGTCAGCCTTGGCGATTTAGGGAGAACTTGTCCCTAAATTAGATTAAATTATTATTATTTTTTAAATAAAAAGGAGTAGGGATTTGGTATGGTGATAGAACCCTTGCCTTGCATATGTGAAGCCTTGGATTCAATCCCCAGGACCTTCTGCATATGAGTGCTAGTGCGTGCGTGCGCGCACACACACACACACACACACACACACACACACACACACACACGCACATGCCAGCATGATATTTTTCCAAGAAGGGAGCTCAAACACTGTCTGGAAAGCTTTCCCCAACCTTTTTTCTTAGACTAAAGACTAAAACTTATTTTTGCATAGACTTTTATTGTGCTCACTGCTTCATTCTGTGGCTAAGTCAAGTCAGTGTCTCTTAATGAACTAAGTAAGAGTCCACTGAGGGTGGAATTTGAGCCTTGTTTAGGTTTGTCAGTTTCATAGTCATCATTTTAAGAGATGGGCACTGTTCGGGGTTTTAGATCCAAGGAAATGTGGATTCTTCTCTCCAGGAGGTCAACATCCAGAGTGGGCGGGAAGACATGCTGTCTAGCTAGACTACAGGGAAGAAGTGGACGGGCATGCGCACATTCAGGGAATATTCATTGGGGACCTATCTACTTTGCCAGAAGCTGGACACATAAAAATTCCTTCAGGACTCTCAGTTTAGTGAGACTGGCCAAGTAAACAAAGGCCACTCATCTGCCAAGTGCTGGGCAGGGCCAATACTTGAAACCAAATGTGAAGGGCACTTAACACAATTGTGGCTGCTGATGGGGGAGGTGTCAGGTAAGTTTTCCTGAAGGGGCGAAACCTGAGCTGGGTTATGGAAGAGGAGTAACAGTAGGCCAAATAAAGAATGTGGGGAAGCCTCCTTGAACGTGCAGGAGGAACGGAGGACAGGAGGATTGCAAGTTTGAGCCCAGCCTCAGTTAGCATCTCAAAATAAAATATAAAAAAGGCTGGGGATGTGGCTCAGTGGTAGAACGCCCCTGGGTTCAATCCCCATACCAAAAAAAAAAAAAAAAAGGAAGGGGAGGGTGGTGAAGCTGGGTATGCAGTTCAATGGTAAAGCTCCTGGGTTTCATGCCCAATACCACAAGGGGGAAAAAAAAAAAAAGAATGTCGGAAGAAAATCCGTAGAAAGGCAGAATAATAGAAGAAGATGTGACACATTTGGAGAACTTCCAGAAGAGTGTCCTCTGGAGATTACAGGGTAGCCCTGAAAACTTTCCAGTAAGAGAGTGGTGTGAACAGGATACAAAAGGGCGGGAGGGGGAAGAGTTGAGGGTGGGAGTGGAAACGTCTCCTTGGGGTTCAGAGCKAGGGCTAGGTCAGGAAAGGGGGAGGTGGGGCTTCCAGGGGCTTTTTGCTTGAGAGACCAAGGAGACTTCTGGGAGAAGACTCATTCTAAGGGAGGAGAGGCAGAGTCCAGGGTTTTTACTGGATGGGCCACAAACCTGAGACCATTCCTTTAAGGAGTAGTGGGGGCACTTCTGAGTATAGCTTAGTGGTGTGTGTAATCTGATTTGGATCTATGTGTAGTCCTTCTTGTCTGGTTTCTGGGCTGGGGGTGATGAGGTAGGGTTTTGAGTAAAAGTAAAAATAGTGATGATTGTTAACAATTCGTGAACACGCATGCCAGGATTTTCTATTCTTTATCTCATTTAATTCTCACCACAGCCCTTGGAAGTTGATACAATGATTATCCCCATTTTATAGTTGGAAAAACCAACCAAGYGACTTATTCAAGGAGAAACCCTCCTACCTAATTCACATTGGGACTGGTACATGCCAGGTAATTGAAAAAGTTGACCAAAACAAAGAGCCATTAAAAAAAAATTCCTACATATTGTAAACATTTAATTTTATTTTGAGATAATTATAAATTTATATATAGTAATAAGGTCTCAGAGAAATCCCATATACTATTCCCCAGTGGTAATATCTTGCAACCCTTTTTTACAGAATGCCTACCTAGCAGGTACCGCTCTAGTTGCTGAAGCAACAATATGGGCAACATCTGCTGACTGAAGATCTGAGATTAAACGAGAGCCTCAGGAAGAACACCTGGTGTCAGAGGGAAGAGAGTGGAAGACAGACAATATTTGAAGGAGGAAGAAAAATCCCAAAGAGACCTTGAAAGTAGCTGAAGGTGGTACTGCAGGATATGGAAAATGATAATCCCCCCAAACTGTGTGACCTGGAGAAAGAGGGAGGAGGAAGGTAATCATTAATCCTCTCCCAGTTAATCCTTTCCCAGTAACAATGGGCCCCGTGGGAAAAAAGCAAACTTTTATCCCTTCCCAATCACAATGGGTCCTGAAGGGAGGTGGTAGATACTGAAATGCTGGGCCCTGGACTTTTACCCTTTCCTACTGTTGATGAGTCCTGGAAGGAGAAGAGCAAATAGTGAAGCTCTGGGAAACAATGAATCCTGGAGAAGATAAGCAGTGAACACTGAGTTCTGCACTTTTCCCAGTGACAATGAGTTTTTACAACTTCTTTCCTGACTGTCCAAAACCAACATGTCCTACTTCAGTCTCCAGTGATTAATTCACTCTCATTGTAACCTATAACACTCAGAGCCCTCTGTAACTAGAGGCCATTTTCTACCCAGAAAGTGAGCCCCTCCAGTGCCTGATTGATTGACTCCGCTGCGGAATAAAGAAAAGCTTGCTGACCTGTTGGAGGTCTGCTTCCATCCTGGGTATTTGTGCTTCCATAATGGCGCCCAAACCGTTTTGGTTATTTTTGCTTTACAGGTGTCATGAAGGCTAAGATGGACTGTGGTGCCAGGAAGGGAGAGTAGTGAAGAGTTTCTAGAGCTGCAGAGATGACCTGGGAGGAGGATTGGAAGTACTCCTTGGATTTAGCAGTCAGGACATCTGCAGGCAGGTACCCTAGTGGTGTGGAGGGAAGCAGGACATAGTGCAGTGAGGTGTGAGCTGGGTGAGGAAGAGGAGGTGGGGTGTACACAAGGCTCATACTCTAATACTCATGCGGATGGCGTTTTAGTCAGCCTCCCTATTAATGTGACMAAAATATCCAACAAGAACAACTAAGAGGAGGAAAAGTTTACTTGGGGCTAATGGTATCAGAGGTCTCAGTCCATAGACAGGTGACCCCATTGCTCTGGGCCCAAGGTGAGGCA